CAAAGAAAAGACAGTCTGTAGGACACAGATGCCTCAAAATGGAGGTGTTGTGCAGTGATAATGAGAGATGATAGATGGCTCCAGTGACACATTGATACTTCCAAGATTTGCTGTGTGGTTTATGGGGATACATGAACAAGAAAGAATTGCTTAGGATGAGAAGGGTCTGGCCCTGCTTTGGGGAAGGTACTCCCATGATGATAAACCAGGGATCCACCAAAAAGATACCCATTAGAATATGAGCTTTTTAGGGGCAGGGCCTTTGTTTTTGCCTTGCTGGTATACCCAGTACTTAGCATTCTGCCTGGCACACAGTGAACATGTAATAAATGTTTAATGACTGACTGACCATTCTGCTTGTTTCACATGTTTCAGATGACTTTTAAACTCAAATCTTTATTTCTACCTCACTTCTGAAATCTCAAACACCACGAGGGTTTTGTGAAAATTACCCTTCCAGCCATCAGGGAATCAAATCTGAAAGTCTGAGCCACTCTAGCCCTTTTATGATTAATTAACAGTTTTACATCAGCTCTTCAGAGCAATTAGTAGGAAAAACACCTTACAGGTGAAATATTTTTCATTTTTAAAAAATGAAGATTTGTTCATTCTCCTGGACACCCTTCATGCCTTATAGGCATTGAACCTCTATTCAAGGGCATTTTCTAGCCATCCCTTATGGCCCATCTTAACTACCACTTTGACTTCACTTTCTACTTGGTTGCTCACCTGGACTTCACCATTGTCTCCAGAAACATATCTTCCTGCAAGATCAAATGAACTCTAAAGCTCACTCTTCCTCAGTACCTTTTGTCTCTGGGGCTCCATCTTCCCTCTGATCGGAGAGGGTGGAGAGTAGACATCCTGGAGAGCTCCTCCCATATCCTCTAAAGGAGGGAGCCCAGGATAGATACATGATCATTTCCCACTTGACTACAAAGCCTGATGCTCTTCCTCCATTCCTTTATCCCTTTCACTTTTGTTTTACATAGCCTCCCCCCATTAGATTTTGAGCTCCTTGAGAGTGGGGACTGGTTTTTTGTTTGTTTGTTTGTTGTTGTCTTTTTTTGTACCTAGCACATAGTAAGTGCTTCATAAATATTTATTGACTGATTGACTGACATCCCTGTTCTATCATATGAACTAAGCCTTCATTTTTTTCATTCAAGGCTTGTTTTTATTTTAAAATAACCAAACCAGCAATACTAAAGTCCAAGAAAATAGAACAATCCTTAAAAATTCTAGATGAGTTTAAATTTCTGGGATGGAGGGACAAGTAGTGGAAAATGTTGGAAAGAGGTTAAGAAATATTAGGGCACCGTGATAGAGTAGGAAGAATGTTGGGTTTGAAGTCAGGACACCTGAGTTCAAATCCCCACACTGTTATCTATGTAACTTTGTATGTGTTACTCTTTCTTTCTAGGGGTCAGTTTCCCTATCTGTACATTGAGGGAGTTGAAGTAGATGTCCAAAAACCCTTTCATAAATGACTTGGTCCTGTGTTTTTTAGAAAAAACAGCCCAGAATTTTTAAGAACCAAGTGGATACTGTCATAGCCTAAATTGTGAAGACAGGTAGCTATAGCTAGAAGTTCAAGGAGATGATATTCATCAACTGCTGGACTCTTTTCCCCAAGAAATCCAACCACAATCCTATCTTTGAGGAAAAAAAGGAATTCAAGGCCCACCCAAGATACCATGATGACAAAACTTAAGACAGAGAAATTCAAATATTTAGAAGATACTAAAGAAAAGTTTAAAGAGAAACACTCCAACCAAGAGTCGGGGGAGGGGTGGGGAGAGGCTAATAGATTGATCTCAAATGCCTGTGCTTGATGCAGAGAAATTAATACCAAAGTGAGTAAAATGATACCAAATGACAGTGATGACAGTAAGAAAATGATACCAAAAATAAATATGCTTGGGGAAGATTCCCAAAATTATAATAGTGATAGCTAACATTCTTGTAACACTTTAAGATATCACTTTACGTATATCTCATTTTGTCCTTAAAATAACCCTGGGAGATAGGTGTTCTGCCACAGAGGTTAAGTGACTTACTTAGGGTCACACAGCTAGTAAGTGTCTGAGATCAGATTTGAACTCAAGTCTTTCAGACTCTAAAGTATAGCACTTTATCCACTATACTACGTAGCTGCCTAAATCCATCAGTTTCTCCCAAATATGCCAGTCAGTTTGTTATCAGAGATGCCCTTCTGAATTCTATGAACTTGATGACAGCCCTACTGTTATTTTAAAAAATTTTTCTCATCAGAGTTTAAACTCCATGAGGCTGAAGATCATGTTTTAATATGCTTTAAAGATAGCACCTTGCACAATAATGGGCACATTTAATATTTGTTAATATTTGTTAGTATTTGTTCAGTAATTGAATAAAAGAATCTAAATGTTAGACACATTTAGGGTTTCATCATTGGCAGGTGGTACCTGTTTAGGCCCTAAAGTTGCAAAAATTATCAAGTCCGACACTTCTACACCTATTCCCAATCCTTATCTTTAGTTTAGCTATTTAAGATATAGCCAGAAATCTTACACCAAGCCCCCCTCAAAAAAATCCTCAGGAGTAGTTGTCACAAAGTTCATAGGCTAAAGCTCATGGATTTTATTCACAGGCCAGTCTTTCAACTCTTTGCTCAGGACATAGTTATTCTTACTTTACATGTGATCCTAACAAGTTTAATTATCCCCTCTCCCACCCTTCAGTGAATGAAAAGCAGTAAATCAGCAGAGAAGAAAGAATAATACAAATAGGATATTGACAATAAGAAGAGATGACAGCTAACTGGTACATAACAAGAAAACCATTAAAAAGCAATAATTTATAAAGAAAAAAAATCCAAGCTCCTTAATGACTGATGACATCATGTTTTCTAGGCGGTGACTGATGTTTATAATAATGACCTTGAATTATCATGAAAAACTTAAATTGTGTTCAGGACATTCTGATTAAGAAGTCCAAAGAGCTTGAATGTACTTTAGGAAGTTTCCATTCAAAGCAGTTAAAATTGAAAAGGTTCCTATATTTAAGAATGTAAAAAAAAATTAATACAAGTTCATAGCTACATAGTACTTTAAGGTTTACAAAGTACTTCTTCCTTCTACCCCCCCCCCAAATAAAAATGTTATTAGCTTCATCTTAAAGATGAGTAAGTTCATAGAGACTATTACTTGCCTAAGGTCAAAAGGATAGTAAATGATCGCACCAGGACCCAAACCCATGCCCTCTGATTCCCAATCCAACTGCTTTTCCCACCATATACAGTCCAGAAAAGTCAGATGAACAGAATCACCCATTCCTTAAGAGTTTTCACCAGGGCAGCTAGGTGGTGCAGAGCACTGGTCCTGGACTCAGGAGGACCTGAGTTTAAATCCAGTCTCAGACACTTAGTAGCTGTGTGACCCTAGATAAGTCACTTAACCCTAATTATCTCCAAAAAAAAATGATTTTCACTAACCATGGTTTTACTTGGATATCACCTGCCTGCTTCTAGTCTCTCTCTGCTCCATTTCATCCATGCCAAAGTGATATTCCCAAAGCATAGGTCTGATCATTTAAGATCTGATCAAGAATCTCTACTAGCTGCCTGTGGTCTCTAGGATAAAATACAAACTTTTCTCTTTAGTATTTAAAGCTTCCATCTGCTCTAGTTTATGCTTCCAAATGTATTAAACATTCTTCTTCATGTCCTCTGTAGTCCAGTCACAATACCCCAAGTGCTAGTGCATTTCCTAACCCTACACCTTTGCACAGGTTTTCTGTGCTTGGAATGTACTCCTTCCTCACCTTCACTTTTGAGAATCCTTCTTTCTGCAGAATTCAGCTCCTACCACTTCCTACATGAGACCATTCCTCCTCTGCATAGTTATTAGTCTCCCCATTTATTCATCCAAATTACCACCCTATGCTTACTTGGCATATTATTTGTATCTATTTTATGTATATGTGTTGTTCCCCCCAGTAGACTCTAAACTTTTTGAGGGAACTGTTTTGTTTTCATCTTTATATCCCCAATGCCTGGAATAGTTTATTGGTACACAGTAGGTGCTTAATAAATGTTTTTTAATTGATCAAAATTGAATGAAATGATTATTTTGGTTTTCAGGATACTTAGAGGTAGAATTTCTACAAATATCTTTTGTTCTATACAGAGTAGGAAGAATTTTTCTTCAATAATTTTCTTAAACCATCTATCTTCCTCTCCCAAAAGAGAAGTAAATGAAATATTCATTAGGAATAAAATACTTTGAAATATGCTGTAAGTTCTAGAAATTGTACAATGGATATTTGATCTGTTTTGTGTCAGCATCTTCAGCTGGGTTTCTCTTCCCTCCCCCCCCAACCTCCTTTAGAATAGTTGCTGAACTCTGCACAAACATGGGTGGTTGGGGCATAAGGGGCTGTGTGTGTGTGTGTGTGTGTGTGTGTGTGTGTGTGTGTGTGTGTCTGAAATAGACTTACATGTGGTACTTTAAAAAATAAAACCAAAACAAGACAAAAATCTCCTACAGTCATCAGTCACACAGCAGATGACATTCATTGAAAGGGATGGAATTTTTACTTGTGCTGAAACTCTTACATGGCTCCCAAGAAGCCCAGTCTATCTGGGAGCCTCCTTTCATGTTGCAAAGCTTGGCAGGACTGGGGGACCTTCGAGGCAGGGCCTTTAGCTGGAGATAAATTAGAGGAGAGTTGCTTTTCACCCTTGATAGTGTGTATAGTACAGAAGAATTCTACTTTACGAAAAGCAGCAAAGAGTAAAACAGATGATAGGCAGTGAATGTTTTTATTTAAGTGTGTACCACGTGATAGAATGCATGGAAATGGCATAGAAGCTACAGAATTAACGATTGATTTTAAATGCATGGTCCGTGATGGGAGGAGAGAGTGTTAAGGGGATTTGCTCTTAATGGGAATTTTTCAACTTATTTCTTGAGGTTTTTCTCCAGTATCTAAATATTTTGCATGGCTTCCTTCCACAGCTCAGTAGAGGATTCAGCAGTATATCATACAGGTCAGCAAATAAACTTCAGATCCCTGACACCAGCCAAGCAGCCTGAATCAATTCATCTGAAAGCCTCAAAGAGCATGGACCTTGGTAAGAGAGGGTGGGGTGACCCTTAGGTCAGCTTTTAGCCTTAGCACATCTATCTTCTTGAATTCCCTGCTTTTGTTTCTTTAACACATACCTTAGAGAGTAAGATCTGCTGAGAACCAGAGGAAGGTGTGATGTCCCCTCTCTACCATCTAACTGGAATTACCCTTAAAATGGAGAGGAGGGGCAAATGATTAATTTTTATGAAGTAGACTATACAGTGTCATCCTCTGTCTCTTTTTAAGAGAGAATAAACTAGATTCGCAATGTTAGATCCAGAAAGGACTTTGAGATGATCTAGTCCCAACCCTCATTTGACATACTGTATAAAGAGATTAAATGTCGGAGTGGAAATGACCTTCCCAAGATCATGCAGCTAGATAACAGCAAGTCCAGGTTTCCTAATCGCTAAGTCCAGTGTGCTCTTTAAATTGTACCACAGCTAATTTCTTAGCTTAAAAGAAAGATAACATGATTTCATTTGTGTGCGTCTATGTAGGTATTAAAATTCATGAAGTGGGTCTTTTAAAATTCTTAGAATAAGGGTTCCTATCTTGGGAAGGAAGATCTCTTGAATCCAGTGTGATACAAATGAAAGAGTCCCAGCTTTGGACTCCAGTGATTTGGATTCATATCCTGCTTGGGCATGTATGTTATCTAACCTCACTGGGCCTCAGGTGCCTCATCTGAAAAATGAGGAGGTTAAATTGCATGGCCTCTAAGGGTCATTCTGTCTTCTAAAGTTATCATTCTATAATCCCTTCCAGTACCAGACTTCCAAATTTTCTTTTCTTTTCTGCTGTTTTCTTCCCATCACCCGCTGAGACATCTTGCCAGCCCGTGGGATGTTACTATTTTCTTGTACTAGCAAACAAAAGGAGTAGGTTCACTGACCATTCTCCCCCACCCTCTTATCCCCTTTGTTCCACCATTTCTCTATTCACTGGGTTTCCTACCATATAGCTGAGATTCCAAGAAAGAAAGTCACCATTTTTCCTTTATCTCTTGCCCCAGTTGCCAAAAATAACACACAATCCTTCTTAGTTTTTCCTTCCAAGTCCACATGTCAGGGAGCTAAATGCCAAGGGATATAATGTTAGAAATAAATCCTGATCCTCCATGCTAATTCTAGGAAACTAGGTATCTCCTTAGATGTCTCTTCCTTCTTAATTTGCTCCTTCAGGTAGATCTTGCCCTTGATGTTACCTTAGTTCTTCTTTTTTAGTTGATTGATTAGTATAGCCAGGTTGTTTGGGGTCCACTTCCCGAAATCTGACTTGATAACTTCAAGTCCTGATGTAGAGCCTAGAGCCTGGGGCATGTAGTCCTCTCTGACATTCCCAATTCAATCTAGCTTCAAGGCCTAAGGGTCCTTGCTGAACATATGCCCCCAAATTTCCCCTACAAGCATGACATTGGCTCAGTGAAAAGAGAGATTTTTTTTTTCCCCATGTGGCCACAGAAGCTCTTTCCACCATGGACTCTAGGCCTTAGATTTTTGTTACTCTTCCTATAGTTTTCAAGGTTTCATCCCCTGGGAATTCTTTCTCTCACCTCTGACCTGCTCTCTCAATTCCTGATTGATCTGCCTGAAGCAAATTCCCTAGCTGCGGTCTAACAGCTAATTCTACCTTTGATGATTAAGTGGCCTCCTCTACCTCCTATTCCTGAGACAGGTGTCTTGCCTAAAGTCCTTGGACCTTAGCCTAGAGCTGAAATTTCATTCCCTAAAGCCAGGTTCTTTCTGACATCATTCCCAACTTGAGGTTTCCTTCCAGGCTAATGAACTCCTCTTATTCTGTCTTAGTACTCCCTGTGAATTCTCCCCCAGTTGGGTGCTCATTGGCTGAGTCTTGTGGGGCTTGGCAATTCTTGCTCTTCTTGGGGCAGTGATAGCTTTTGAAAGAGGCCTTGGTAGAGGCCTGCCCTTACCATATCGAATGCTGGGTGTTCTGAGATTCCTAACTCATGGAAACATCTCTAAGTGACCATCACTGTGGATGTCTAGTATGGGTAGCTGAGAGGTTTGTGTCTAAGCTTCAAGGACTTCTGGCCAGGTTACTGTCTTTAAAAAATGGCATCCAGGCATACTGCAGTAGTCTTTTGGGGAGCATTCTGTTGAGCTCTTTATAGGAAAACTGTTAAAGAAGTATGCAAATTTAAAATAAATTCTGAATGAAATGTTAATTGCATTTGGAATGCTAGCAGGCATGGTACTGCAAAGATTCAGACTTCTTGAGGTATATTGCATATTTCATTAGTAACAAGAAGAAAACTGAATAACCAAAATTGTATGATGCATCTGATGGTTTAATAAATAGTGTTTCTCCATTGCCCCATTTACAATTGTTCAGACAAATGTCCAATCATGATGAAACCAGAGAAATTGATTCTATTTTCCATAAGCTAACTTGATCACTGGATATTTTCCTTCTAATCATGTATAGTCAGGGTCTGGTGGAGAAACACACTGGGAAACTGCCTTAGATCATAGCAGTGATCACAGAAGAACATTTGCAAGGCTAAAGGCCTTTAACTAATAAGGAGTGTAAAGAAGGTCTTTTATCACTATCCATTAGGTCATTTCTATAAACAGTAAAGAGTATGTCAGACTTACAAAGTGCCTTGCAAATTTGTCCTTCAGTCTTTCATTCTCCACTTGAGGAAGAAGGTGAATGGGTAGCAACCATTATTAATTGGTAGTGGAAAATTCTGATAGCATTTTGAGAATCCAAGGGGACAAAGGGACTGATGTAGCCCTCTAAAAATCTTGGGATCAGAAGAAAACCAGTGAAGTCTTTTCTAAAGTGAAAGCAGGACCTCAGGAGAAAACAAAGCTAGATATTCAGTTACCAAAAATGAAACAAAACAAAATCCCCAGCCAACTAAACTACTCCAAGAGCCTAAAGTAACTTATTCTCCAATTTTTAGTATTTCTGTATACATAGAGATTGAGTGCTGGAAGGTACCTTAGATGTCATCTAGTCCAACTCTCTCATTTTGCAGTTGATGTAACAGGGGTCTAGAGAAATCTTTCCCAAGGTCATACAACCAGTAAGAGATGGGATTCTGTACCCGATCCTCCAACCCCAAACCCAGCCATCTGTGGACAGATTGCTTTTGAAGGCTCTCTCTTGTGGGATGAGATAGTTCTTACTTTAGCTAGCAATTGCCCCCTGCATTTTAGAGGTGTCATCACAGGAGGGAATTACTAATACTTGTATTTTTTTCCATTTTAAAAAATCATATGGATCTTAAGCCTTTTTCCTTAGGATAAAAGTACCAAGATAAAAGTGTTGGATAAGGTACACCAGGCAAAATCAGCAATTAACAACATATTTTAAATACTTTTTTTAAACCTAAACACAATATAACATTCTTCTTAGAAGGCCTTATGTATTAATGATCTATGTCTAGGAAACTTTTGGAACCAAGATAGGCAGATAGCTCCATATTTAAGTGACTCCAATGACTCTCCTAACCTCATTGTTCTTGTACTTGGCTTCCCTCTCTCTAAGGGGAGTGATCAGCTCAAATTTCATAGAATGCAAGCCCCTTGAAGATAGGACTTATCTTGTGTTTTTACTCTTTATAGCCCAATAGCTTCATAGCTTAGTGCATGACATATAGTAGACCCTAATAGATAATAATAGTTAGCATTTATTGACCCAGAGGTAGCACACCAAAAGCACTTGTGTAGATAATAGCTTTTTCATTTCTTGGAAATGTCCAGAGCTCTTTTAACTTTCCATTCAACAATGTAAAACAACAAAATAATAATAATTATTTATTTATTCATTAATTTATTTGTGTGTTTATTTAAACTGACTGTTATCTCTGAAATAGTCCTCATTTTAACAGAAGTTCTTTTCTTTAAAGATTGAAGATATTCCTCAAAGGGGCATTGTAATGGTGGTTTTCAGATGGTCAGCCAAAAATCTTTCATTTCTTATATTATGTCTCATAAAGGAGAGACAAAGATGGGTAGATAGACGGATAGATAGATAGATAGATAGGTAGCTAGATATGGATGTATTGGCAAAACCTGAATGTCCCTGAAAGTACCTTCCAGTGGTTTTATATTAACCAGTAGCTTAATCAAAACCTTAATTTTACTTGACTAGAAGCTTGCTTTCAGTGGGTATTGTCACTGATTAGTTTTGAATAGCCTTGAATGATTTTCTGACTGGGCACAGTAAGGGCCCATTTGATAATTTTGTAGATAGATAGACCCTTCTGCAAATGCTGAGCTATGCCATTGTTCAGTTTGGATTTTGTCTGTTTCTTATGTTTTGTTTTGGTCTGGACTGTGATTTTATTATGTGAGAAAATTCTTTCTACCAACACAGATCAGAAATAGTTCTGAAAATTAGAAGTCTTAAAGAATTTCCTGGGACGTCAAAAGATTAAAGTGGTTTGCCCTGTATGGACGGTCAGAATGTGTCATAGGAAGCACTTGAACCCAAGGAAGTGTGACTCAGAGGCTTGTCCTGCTACTGCTGCCCAAACTGCCCTTCTAAACCATGGATAAGTTTGCGATTTGTGAAGTGTCTGTGATTTCATTAGCACTGGGGAACTCCTTTAACCAACACAAATCACAATCAGATTTAGTAGATCATACCTAAAGCCCCTAGGGAGCTGAGGGGTTTGCCTGTGGTCACATAGCAAGGGAGATTTGAACCCATGCCTTACTGACTAGAAGCCCCAGAGTCTTGCCCTCCACCACAGAGGTGTCCAATGCAGGGACTTTGGAGGCTGCAACACTCCCAGTGCTGAGAAACAGACTGAATTGTAATTGGGAAATATTGAACAATATAAAATAAACAAAATTATTATAGAACATAGATAATGTTAAGTTGTGGTTTTCCAAGTCAGTCTGTTGCTGGAGGGATTCTTATGCATGATTAGTAACTCATATTTCTATTTGAGTTTGATACCACTGTTATACTATTTACAAAATGTCATATAAAATGGTCTTATTCTAGTTTTATTCAGTTTGAAAG